AAATTATATTCCAATTTCCAAAAGGCATAATCTTTTATTATAATAAAAGAATGAAGGGGCAATCGTTTCATACATAATTTTCAAACTAGTGCTTCCTCACTCTTTTTCCTTTCTTTAGCGAAGAAGCTAAATAATTTGTCCTCAAATTAGTGTTGTTATTCAATTTATCATTTACTAATCCAATAATTGAACACTTTCTTTTATCTTTACACTTTGCTTATAGTATACTAGTGTCATTATCAATAATAAAAACCAAAAAGATAGTAACGTTATGTCACAATTCGAATGAATATATAATATGTTATATGTGATTTATTTTCTTATTAGCTAAGCAACATAACTTTATTCTTTGCCCACTAAAGCAGAAAATATAATGTATTTGTCATGAATTGAACTACAAAGAGAAGATCATTAAAACAATGTCAAAATCGTTCTTTTCCCTCATTTTTCTTCTTAAATAATTAACAATACTTCTACGGCAATTTTTTTTTTTTTTCAAAAAATGAGAATTAAGTGCAAATAGTTTGGTATAATTGTCATTTTACATCCTAAGCGAATTGGCTCATACAAATTCTTTTGCTTTTCTTTTTTTGAATGATATTGTTCTTTAATACTTCCTCCGGTCCATTTTAATTGTTTTTTTGTATTTTTTTATGATCCGCAATATTTAATTTTTTAAGATATCAAGAAGGAATTAATTTTTTTTTTCAAAGTTTCCCTTGAAGTAAAGAGTCTCAAAAAATATATTATATTTCTAATGAACAAATTGAAAAGATAGTAAATGTTAATATGGTCATTTAATGTTAATTAATGTTAAAATATAAATTCTTTAATATGTGTGAAAATAAAAAAAAATAATTAAAATGAACCGAAGGGAGTAAGAAATAGTAAGAGATTGGAGATATACTCTTCTTCAATAAGAAAACTCAATCAGTTTCTTTTAAAAGAAAAGAAAAAAAGAAATTTAATTGGTATGTTTAATCAATTAATTATTTTATCTAATCAACTTTTTTGGTCCTATCCCTAACTAGAAAATGCATTTATGTAATCATAAATTCCAATAATCAAGGAACTATACCTCTTTTTAGTTTAGTGTACAAATTAAATATTTGACTTTGACGCATGGGAGAACTAATACATTAATATGTTGTTTTCATTGCAACAACGACGTCTGTCGTGAAATTAGATATTTTATATTTATAAGGAAAAATTATAACAGAGAAAAAAATTGTGTTCCTTCCGACTAAGAAGATAGACACAATATTTCAACGAGAAAGTCCATTATTCAAATGATCACTCAGTTATTCGAAATTATCTAATAAAATAAATACTTACTTTATTTGTAACAAACAAGTAGCTTAATTATTTCTAAAACACATAGAAAATCACTATATTTTATTTTTCTTACTTTCGATAGCCAAATACCTATTTTACCCTCTTAATTATTACTATTTTTTTATCTTTTAATATTATATATTTTTTTCTTTTTACTATATATTATGGACTTATCTCTAAAATAAATAAATCTTACATAAAAAATATTTTCGTGAATGGTTCAAGAAACACAAGCATTCCTTAACCTCAGCGTATGGGGGGGGGGGTCTATGAGACACGTGAACACATGCTCTCCGCCCTAAATCATGTATAGTAGTAATACTATATTTTTGTAAAAAAAATATTTAAATATATGTGTGTGCACCAATGCTCAAAGTATTATATGATGTGATTGTTATTGAGTGCACTTCTCTAGGTGAGGTTGTGAGTTTAAATCTTATGTCAATCTTGTTATTTTTTTCCTTCTTTTCTTTTTCTCCTAAAAGTAGACGCCAACTGACTGCCCCTTGCACTCGGCCTTTCTTTGCTGTGTGAATAAGGTCGTCTTAGTCTGTATGGACATTCTGGGCAGGTCGCAATAAGTCGCTAGTCGAAGGTTATGACCAATCGCAATTCATCACCATCTTGCCCACGGGAGACGGGTGTGTGTGGTGTTATTTTTTGCATATTAATAAAGTACTTTTTATTTGTTTGGTTCATTCTTTCAAAATTTTCACACATTGAAATTCCTATTCTTCTTTTGTCGTTGTAAAATCTTATATGATTAAATAAAATGTGTATATTAAAACTAGTAGCAGGGTATGATGTCGTATATAGTCAATGAGTTCAACCGATCTCAATATATTCAACATAGAAAATAGATATAGATATAAGAAAATTACTATTTTTTAAAAATAATAATTTTGAACTTATAATTCTAAAAGTGCAATGGGTACGCAATTGTAAGAACTAAAGGTTGAACCATTAAAATTTATATTCTGGATCCACATGTTCTTGATAGTGCACCCATCCTATCAAAATTCTGGATTCGCCTCTGCTTAATCTAAGCAAGTGTAAACTTGGAACTTGCATATGTACCCCTAAATAACAATAATAAATTGTTTCATTTAATAGTGCACCTGGTTTTTCAATAAAATACCAGAACCCTGCTGAAGCATAGAATGTCAAAATAAATAAATTAATCCAACAGACAATATCCAACTTAAATAAACAATGCACAAATTCCTATTTTCCAGATTTTTTTTTAAAACTGGCAAGTTNTATATATATATATATATATATTGCGCGCTATTATTTTTGGAAGTGAATATAATGTGTAATTTCCCTTTAAAAATGTGTTGTTTTAAAACACCATACTACAGCTGAGCTGTCACTATTGAGTAAAGCGAGGTCAAATTAGTCAATCTATCGTTCTGTTCTCCACATTCTCGCATGCTGGTCCCTTTCATTAATTTTTGCCTCTTTTTTTTCATATTCTTTTTTCTTTTATAATTAATTAGGAAATAGCAAAGACTTAAGCGAAAATACTAATCAGAAAATTAACTAAATTTGCTCGTAATATGTGATCATATAATTACTAGACTTTTTTTTTTTTATTGTTGTAAATTCTTCAACTAAAATTTCTTGAGTTAAAATGCCCTAGTAGGAAGTAAAACTGAAAATAAGAATGCTTTTAGTGTGTTTGGATCCTTCACGACTTATAGTTTAGTGATATCGATAAAACAATTTGACGAAAAAATATTACTCGCATATTAATAAATATATATATATATATTAACAATGGTTAAATAATTAAAATTTTATATAAAAAGATATAAGACACATGTATTACATTTATTTTTTTGTATAAAAAACTAATTTTGAATAATTTTTTTAGTTTTTCGCACAATTGACGTGCGGTCAAATCTCATTATTCCCTATCACTTTTTCTTCCCTAGTCCCTAAGTAATTTAATATGAAATGCTAGACTCAAATGCAATAATGTTGATATATGAATTACAAAACCTTTTTATTTTGTTTTAGGGATTATGATAATTCATTATGTTGCTTTCCAAATAAATTTTAAAAAATATAAACGTTAGTGACCGTTGAGTTAACAGGTAATTACCTACTAATCTTGTTTTAGTTAGAGATTAGATACAATTCTTAGTTAATCACACATTATGTGTGTTTCAAAATTCATACAAAATGACCTAACTGCCGGAGGTATTGCCGGCGTGTATTCATTTGTTTCCGACCTGTTCTAATTTCTAACATAGGAACCGTTCAATTTGTTGTAAGAAATTTAAAATATTTGCCTTTTTCTTAATTTAAAATGCAAAATTCGCACTTTAGTCCTCAAATACCGATGAATTTTAAGTTTGGTCCTTGTAATTCAAATTTCGTATGAAACACTAAGATCACTCTCGATCCCTCGTACTATGAATCTTTACAAATTTAACGAATTATTAAGTGCTAAAATACTTAATTACTGTGGTAATATGTATGGGCGAAGCTAGAGTGCTGAGAGCGGGTTCGGTCGAACCAAGTAGCTTTGGTTTGAACCCTGCATGTGTGTTAAAAAATTCGTTAAATATTTATAAAATATTAATTTAGAACTCAATAACTTAAAGCGATTAAAATCCGGAACTCATAAGGTTGAAATCTTGGCTCCGCCTCTATGATATGTTACATTCATGTTGTTGCCTCATACTCGAGCTAAAATATAGTTCAAAAATATCTAAATATCACATATAAAAAGATATCAAAATTACATATTTTAATTAATTAGAGACTAAATGTACTTAATTAACAATTACAAATACCAAAATCAAAATCGATAATCGAAGGACCAAAAGTGCTATTATCCCTTTTACAAATACCGAAATCATGATCAATAATGAGGGACCAAAAATGCTATTATCCAAAATATTAGAACATAGTAAAGAAAAAGAAAAAGAAAAAGAAAAAAGATGAACCAACTCAAACCAGAAGCTAAACTAGAGCTTCTATAAAAAGAGAACCCTCCCTTTATTTCTCTCTCAATCTTCTTCCTTTGTTCCTCTTCTCTCTCTATTTTCTCTGTCACCATTTTTTTCTATTTTTCTTTAGCCATTAATGCATATCTCTGCTATTATTTCTCTTTCATTATAAAACAAATAATAGAAAAATAAGAACATTAGCGTTGGTTTTTGAGCCAATTTATTTTCTTGAAACTAACAGAGCAGAACCAAAAAACCTCCATTTCTTCCTTCTTTCTCATTGTTTTTGTTGCTACATTTTTTGTTTCCTTTTTTTCCCCTCAATTTTCCATTTGTTCAAAAAATAAAAAATAAAAAGAATCTTGTTGTTGGAGCAAAATATAATGGTGAGTTTGAGCTTATTGTCTGTCTTCTGACATTCCAGCTCTTACCTCCATTGTTTTGCTTAAACCAAAAAGCAAAAAATTCTCATTAAAAAAGAATATTTTCCTCTCACTTTTTCTGCAAATTTAAAATACTCACATTTTCCATCTCTTTGAGTTTCCTCTGTTTTTTCAAAAATCCCCTGTTTTCTCCTCTGTTTTTTCGAGAATCCCCTGTTTTTCCTCTGTTTTCAAGAATCCCCTGTTTTCCCCCTCTGTTTTCAGAATCCCCTGTTTTTTCAAGAATCCCCTGTTTTTTCCTCTGTTTATTTGTGACCAAAAAATGGAGAGGATTTCAACAACAACATTGCTTCCTGATACATTTTATGGAACGAGAGATGATATAACAGAGCAATTTGCGATAATGTGGGAACAAATCAAAGCTCCATTGATTGTTCCTCTGCTCAGAATTGCAGTGTTATTGTGTCTTGCTATGTCTGTTATGTTGTTCATTGAAAGAGTTTACATGTTTATTGTAATTTCTCTTGTCAAACTCTTTGGTAGAAAACCAGAGAAACGTTACAAATGGGAACCAATAAAAGATGATGTTGAGCTTGGGAATTCATCTTATCCTATGGTTCTTGTTCAAATACCTATGTATAATGAAAAAGAGGTAACTTTTTCTTCTTTTTATCTCTTTATCTTTTGAGTTTAACTACTACAGTAATATTTTTTATTGTATCGTATCATTGTATCAAGTAACTTAATACTCCATATGTCTTACTTTTTCTGTTCCAGTTTATGTTAATTTATTTCTTTTTTGGTTCGTTTAAAAAAGAACGACCCTTTTTAAAATTTGAAAACAATTTAGTACCCTTAACGAGAAGTTTTTTTAACCACACAAATATTCTTGGCCCTTTTTTTAACTTGTTTAGGACCACAAATTCCAAAAATCTTATTTTTTCTTAAATTTCATGCCCAATCAAATAGGTTTATATAAATTGGATAAATTGGAATAGAGGGAGTAGTTTATATGATGGTGTTCATATTTCGAAAGTCAGGCGAGTTGTTGATTGACCGTAATTTTCTTATTTGACTTTTAAATATTTTAAATTATTAATTATTGAGATTTATAATAATTTTTATATCGTTTTTAAATATGTAATTTTTATTTTGAAAAATTTCAAGATTTTATATCCAAATATACTATCAGAATTTAAAAGTTTAAATCTCAAAAAACGAAAAGTATAGTATATGTTGGGACACATGGAGTAGTATAAAAGATTTTTTGTATTATCGGTGTATATAAGTTTAAACATATTTTTCATTTTTAAAAATTTTTCCAACATTATAATCTTATTTCAGGTAAAATTCTTTATTTTTTTTCACAGGTTTATCAGCTATCAATTGGAGCTGCATGTGGACTTTCATGGCCTTCTGATCGTATTATAGTACAAATTCTTGATGATTCAACAGACCCCATTACTAAGGTATCTTTAAAATAATTTAAAGTTTGTAAAAATTTAATATTTTTTTATAATTAAAGAAAAACCCTAAAACCCCTTTTTGTGATACTTGAAATGTGTGCAGAATTTGGTGGAAATGGAATGTCAAAGATGGGCAAGCAAAGGAATAAATATAAAATATGAAGTGAGAGATAATAGGAGTGGATACAAAGCAGGAGCTTTAAAACAAGGGTTGAAACATTCCTATGTTAAACAATGTGATTTTGTTGCTATATTTGATGCTGATTTTCAACCTGAACCTGATTTCCTTTGGCGTACAATTCCATTTTTAGTTCACAATCCTGAACTTTCCCTTGTTCAAGCTCGTTGGAAATATGGTAATTTTTACTTTTTACTTTTTCACTTTCCTCGTATGGTAATTTTTTAATTTTTGTAAGAATGATATCCCGTCAGTTTGCGCATATTTCGATTATTTTAAAGATGTTAAATAAGGAGATTCATTAGAATTTAGTGTGCATTGCGCGAGTAGTTAGTTCAAACCCTTTGTATGAGAAATCTCGTTCTAATTTTTATTCTTTTAATTAGTTCTATGCTTGAATTTGAATATCATTCTATAATTTTTATTCTTTTAATTAACCGCTAGACAACACCTTTATTTAGTTACTTTCTTTATATATAACTGTATCTATTTTATCAACAAACACAAAAAATTGTCTTATATTTCTTATTGCATTAATGTCTCTCTACTCAATTTAACTCATCAAAAGTGTCGGTTACTTTACACACTACCAATTCTTTTGTGTGTGTAGTAGATAATGATGGCTAGACATAGGTACAATCTTTTCGTAGTTCAGCTCTTTTAGGCCACATTGAGTGTTTGTTATGTTTGGTGGCTCATGAAACTTGGCTCTAGTAGTGAATTGGCTATTCTATAAAATTCAAACTTTTTAACAAAAAAAAAAGAAAAGGAAAAAGGGTTATTTTTACCCCCTTTACTACTAAAAATAAGCTATATTTATCACTCGTTTCAGCTTGCTAATAAATCCACCCTATTATTATACTTTTGGTCGATGGAGGTTGGTGTCTATTGTTTATTTTCTTCTTCTTGAGCCGAATATCTTTCAGAAATAGCCTTTATATCCCTTTGGGGTAGGGGTAAGATTTGCGTACACTCTACCCTCCCCAAACTCCACTTGTAAAATTTTATTGGCTTGTTGTTATTGTTGTGGTCGGACGGGTTAGTCATTTAAGATTGGTCGATCCTTTTTGTCCAATGACAACATGCCACGTGGATTTTTAAGGCTGGGATAGAGGTTTAATAGATGAGGCGTAAAAATAAATAAAGTATAATGGTAGGGGGTGTATTTATTTTAATAGTAGATGGATAATTATGGCCTTTTTGTGGGAAAAGAACTCTATGTCAAAAATAGTGTAATTGTTAAAAAAAAAATTGCTAAAAATTATCAACCCTGTGAAAAGTTGTTTTGTGGTTTCGTAAGAAGCACTTCATATTATATATAGGTTTTTTGATTGGACATAAATGCCCCTATCACTTTTTGGAAGCTTTTTTGTACTAAAAAAACTGCTGTCCTTTAAAAAATAATCCATTTAATAAGTGCTAGATTTTGGGGCCAGATTCTGCCAAGAAAATCTTTTACATTCTTGAAGGGAAGGCCAATTTTGGAGTTATATTAATTAGGACAAGGGTATATTTGTCTTTTTGTCTTATACCTTCTTTCCTTTCCCAAAGTAGCCAACAATTGCATGTGCTATAGAAATGGTGGACCTCAGACCAATTCTTTTACTAACCGACACTAATTTTTGTGACATTGAGAATTTTTGTTATTTTTTTTTTTTAAATATAGTTTTTGTATATCTGTATTTATATATACAGTCAAACCTCTCTATAATAATTTTATTTATTATGGGTTTTTTTTGTTGTTATTATGGATTGTCTTTATAGAGAACATATATTATAACATAATATAAAAATTAGTTTCATAAAAATTTGACTTTTATAATGAATAGATATTATATAGCGATATTATTATTGACGGGTCTGATTGTAATATATATTTTGTACAAATTTTGGTTAGCAATTGCTATTAGCTTTTGACAAACCGGCTAATTTTGTATTTTGCCGTTAATTTTAATAGGTCAAATTAAATATTTCTTGTAAATAAATTTTTTAAAAATGTCCGTTGGAAAATTATGGTATTACAGTTAATGATTAATGATTTTTGGTGGATGATTTTGCAGTAAATGCTGATGAATGTCTAATGACAAGAATGCAAGAAATGTCTTTGGACTACCATTTCACTGTGGAGCAAGAAGTGGGCTCTGCTACCCATGCTTTTTTCGGATTTAATGGTATTAATTCTACCTATTAATTACTCTTCCTTCCCTTTTGAGCTAATTTTGTACCATAATTAATGTTTTGATTTAGACCCTTTTGAAATCACAAGCAAGTTAAGGACTAGATCAACATGTTTCTTGAAAATACATTAGGAATTATTAATCCTTTTGTTCCCATTTACTTGTCACGTTTTGCTTTTCGAGAGTTAATTTGACTAATTTTTGAAGCTAAACTAGATTAGATTATTTTAATATTTTAAAATTTAAATATTGGAAACCTATACAAAAATACTATAGTTTGTAATTTTCCTCATATCAATATGGTAAAAAATACATGGTAAAATGTTGGTCAAAAAGTCCCCCACCCCCTCCCCCCCCATTTTCAAGAAACATGTGTATGCTACAATGGCCCTTGACAGGAAATTATGGAGGTCGAGCATTAAGGTTGTAGGTTAGGGAAAGTTGTGAATATTTCTACAGCACAATAGAGTGAGACTAGCCAGTTAGGAGTTAGACTAAAAATGTCATTGGTCGTCTATTGATGCAGAGTTTACCTGCTAGTTTTTACTATATCAGTCATCTATTTCGTATTTCGTATTCTGTATTTCATATCTCTTATAAAGCTGTTATTTTATTATGCATTTTTATGGTACTAATATATCATCTCCTGTTGCTTTTTTGAGCCGAAGGTCTCCTGGAAACAGCCTCTCTACCCTTCGGGGTAGGGGCAAGGTCTGCGTATATATTACCCTCCCCAGACCCCACTTGTGGGATTATACTGGGTCGTTGTTGTTGTTGTTGTTGATGTGTATGCTACAATGTTGGGAGTTTCTTTCCCAAACCAAATTCATAAATTTAGGTCCAATGAAATGGACAAGTTAATAGCATATTTATTTAGTATTAATTGGCTTCAAATCTATTCTGAAAACGTTTTTCTTGAGTCGGCGATCTATCGGAAACAAGCTTTTTATTTCATAGAAGGCAGGAGTAAGGTCCGCATACATCCCACTCTCCCAGAGCCCCATTTGTTGGATCACACTGAATATGTTATTGTTGCTGGCGGCTTCAATGAAGTAAAACTAGTAATAATAGCAGTGGTCCAAGAAAACATTAACTTAGCTTGTTCTGTGAATTCTTTCTGTGGTCCAATTATTGTAAACCTAAATATTGAAAGTTGTATGTGGAACAAAAACACAGGGACTGCAGGTGTTTGGAGAATTGCTGCAATAGATGAGGCTGGAGGTTGGAAAGACAGGACAACAGTTGAGGATATGGACCTTGCTGTCCGTGCTAGTCTCAAGGGCTGGAAATTCTTGTACCTTAGTTCTCTCATGGTACATACATATTCCTTATCTGACATTTCTTATCCGTTGTCTCGAAATGATAAATATAAAAGCGCCATCGACATTTTTTAAACTCTTTGTCCAGTCAAACTAAGATACATAAATTGAAACGGAAGGAGTATAATATAGTGAGTTATCGTGTATACAAACAGAGGAAACCACATGTAGTAACTTAGTCAAAATAAAAGACAGTCGGGTGCACTAAGCTCCCGCTATGTACGGAATCCAGGGAAGGGTCGGATCACAAGAGTCTATTGTATGCAACATTATCCTGCATTTCTGCAAGAGGCTGTTTCCACGACTCGAACTCGTGACCTCCTGGTCACATGGTAGCAACTTTACCAGTTGCGCCAAAGCTACCCTTCAACTTACGTCAAAGTAAAATGTTAATAAAATGTAACGTGCTTATTCAATCATATAGGTAAAAAATGAATTACCAAGTACGTTCAAGGCCTATCGTTATCAACAACATCGTTGGTCATGTGGTCCAGCCAATCTCTTCAGGAAGATGTTTATGGAGATTGTAAGAAATAAGGTAAACTCCTAAATTGCCATTGCCATATTTCAATTTTCTTAGCCTACTGCATAGTATCTAAGTACACATTGAGCATTTTTATTCTCTTTGTTTGCTTGCAGAAAGTGTCGTTGTGGAAGAAGGTTCATGTGATTTATAGCTTCTTCTTTGTGAGGAAGGTCGTAGCTCATATCGTTACTTTCGTATTCTACGTTGTAGTATTACCCGCCACTGTATTAGTGCCTGAAGTTGAAGTTCCAAAGTGGGGAGCTGTTTACATTCCTGCTATCATTACGCTGCTCAATGCAGTTGGAACTCCAAGGTCAGTTTACCTTATACTTGCATTACATCGCTCTTCGCTTATTTGATATCGTTTTGATCCTAACAGTTGAAAGTTTAGACAATACATTAGATTTTAGATCATTGAATATTCAAACATAAGTTAGCAACTACTTGCTCCTTGAGCCGAGGGTCTATCGGAAACAACCTCTCTACCTTCACAAGGTATGAGTAAGGTCTGCGTACACGTTATCTTCCTCAGACCCCACTTGTGGGATTACACTGAGTTTGTTGTTATTGTACATTAGCAACTACTGGATAAATATGCCTTGGTTGCCTTTGCGAGGAGCAAACATTGTCTTACTAATTTGTCATTTGAAGATGCAATCTTGAAATGTTGAGGTTTTGCTTATACTGAATTGGTAACAGGTCACTCCATTTGCTGGTATTTTGGATCCTTTTCGAGAATGTCATGTCACTCCACCGAACTAAGGCTACCTTCATCGGCTTGTTGGAGGTAGGAAGAGTAAATGAATGGATTGTCACTGAGAAATTAGGAGATGCTCTCAAGTTAAAATCAGCTGCCAAAGCATTTAGAAAACATCGAATGAGGCTTGGTGACAGGTAATATCATCTTACAAATACAGTCAAAGCTCTCTATAACAGCCTCATTTGTTTCGATATTTTTTGGCTGTTATAGTGAAGTGTTGTTATAGAGGACATATATTATGACATAATATAAAAATAGATTTCGAGAAAAACTTAGCTTTTATAGTGAATGACTGTTTATAATGATGTTGTTATAGAGATGTACAACTGTATGAGATTTTGAGAACTTAAGCAACTCACTTTCTTGAACAATTTGTATGACTAAACTTTTTCCTATTGTTGTATTATCGACAGGATTCACTTGTTAGAGCTTGCTGCTGGCGCGTACCTCTTCTTCTGTGGATGTTATGACATTGCCTTCGGAAATAATCACTATTTCCTTTACCTCTTCATTCAAGCATTTGCTTTCTTCATCGTGGGATTTGGTTACGTTGGCACGTTCGTGCCAAACTCTTAGATGGTGTTCGTGAACTGATTTTAGGGTATGAATCTTGAGCTTTTCGCCCTGTGCTCCACTCTGTAGCACAAAAAGAAGTGGCGTTTTCAGTGGCGTTGCGCCTCTGCAGTTTAGTTCTCCTCTATTTTCTTGTTTTTGGGTGTTTTTTGTTCACTTGTAAAAAGAAGAAAAGTTGGTTATTCTTTTAGGTTCAAAGCATAAAAGGAATTCGAGTCGTAGCTCGAATCTTATTTGTTCTCTTTGTGTATATTCAAGAAAGTTAAGGGCTACAACAACAATAACAAACTAAGTGTAATATCACAAGTGAGGTCTAGAGAGGGTAATGTATATGCAGACGTTACTCATACCTTGTGAAGATATAAAGGCAGTTTTCGATAGAAAAAAGTTAAGGTCTATACAGTAGAATCAAGAAAGTAAAAGGGATAATGACTAGTGCTAAGAGGCACAAAGTAGTAGCTTAATCTGTTGCTTTTTTTCTGTTTTTTCTTTCCTTCTCAGATGTACTTGGTTTCAATACAGAGTGAAAGTTTCAGAGATATGTTTCTATTTTTCTACCATTTATTGTTTCAGCTAATGGTTGATTGAAAGGGACATCTGACCAACAATTGATATGGAAGTGAAAACTGGTGTAAGAATATGGAACCTTGAACCAAACGGTAAAGTTATCTTCATGTGATTTATAGGTCACGGGTTAAAGCTATGAAATTAGTCATTGATGCTTGCAACAGGATAGACTGTCTATATCATATCCTTTTGAGTGCGGTCCGTCCCTTTGATTTTGTGTAAACATGAAATGTTTCATACACTGGACTGTCATATTGAAACTGGTGTAAAAGCATGAAATCAGAAAAGATCATTCATTAATTTTGCTATGTATGGACAAGATGTGCCAAGGTTTAATGATTGACCAACCCCGTACAAGCTCACCAAACAAACATCTACTTATGGCATAAGATTGAGTAAATGGAATATATATAACACGCCAGTCACCTCCCCTAACAGTTGCATAGGTAGGATTTTTATACGCGTTGTCACGACTCGAAGAAATGATTAATAAATAAATTTTCGATGTGTATCCCTAATATTTTTTTATAAATATTTAGTAAAAAATTTCGAGGAAATGATATCTAGTAATACATCATGAGAAAAGGTGTACACGCCCCTGCCAACTAACATGATAAAAACACTCAAAACAATCATGCGACGTTGTTGTTATCACATTTTATAGTGCTTTCTACTACTAGTAGTGCGACTTTAATATCTTTAATACCTTAAAAACGAGATATGTGCTTGTCCAATTATGTCACTGTCAACACTAAAATTTAGATTTTGACATGGACTAAGGACTTTGAACAATGGACTGCTACTGGTGGGCATAGAATGTGTATAAAAGAAGACCCATTGGGCTAAACATTGTTTGTACCAGACGTAAAAATAGTACGGTATAGCCAGTTTTTGGATCGGTCATTCAAAAATAGCCAGCGTTTACGAAGTCAATAAAAAATAGCCATTATTTTGCTGCAACATAGACCGGTCCAGCATAATATACTGGAGTTCGGTGCACCTGTGTATGAACTTCAGCATATTATGCTGGACCGGTATACTTTGCTGACACCAGTATAATATACTGGAGACTGGAGCACCGGTGCTCGAAACTCCAGTATATTATACTGGACAATTATACTTGCTGGAACTCCAGTATATTATGCTCGAGTTCTAGTGTACTTATGCTGGAACTCCATCATATTATGCTGGAGTTCCATCATACTTATCCTGGAACTCCAGTATAATATGCTGGAGTTGAAGCATACTTATGTTGGAACTCCAGTATAATATACTGGCGTATTTTCCAGGTTTTGAACAGTGTTTTCGCGCATATTTATCTTTACATGAAAAGTGACTAAATTTTGATTACTTTTGAAACTGGACTATTTTTGAACGACCAGTTGTAAATCTGACTATTTTTAAATTTCTCCCGTAGCAGACTGGATTACATGGGCTAAACCTAACAGCCCTACCAAAAGAGTGAGCAAAAGGTCATAATCTCGTCTATTCAAATTATGCAGGATTTTAGTAGAGTAATTCATTACAATCTCTTCATAAAGCTTCCAATATAGATATATTCCAAATATATACAACCCTTTTCTTAAACATTTAGACAAAACTGAATACTGAAATTCGAAATAAAATTAAAGTAAAATTTAATACGTAAAATTATATATCATCTATCAAGTTTCATTTATGCTCATTTTGGACCTCTTGTTGTACCTTGTCAATGTGCAGTGAGTGCCTCTCTATATATATTTGGGCTTTTAACACTTTCAGCCTGTGAAAAATAATTACAACCGCTATTCAAATATACAAATAATATATAGTAATTTTTACCTCCCATAGCACAAGTTGTTACCTTATTTATTTTAAATAAATACCTTTTAAAAAATTATATTCCATAGATACCTTTTGATTTTTATAGCCAAATATTTATTTATGGTCACCTCTTACTCTTAAGCCATAAAATATGCTTTGTATTATTTTTCTCTCTCATTCTTTCAGATTTGTCTCCACCTCTCTCTCTCAACACCAGTCTTTCTCCATGAATACAACCACAATTCTCCACTGATTCATCTCCATTGTCTCGAAGAATTTTCATTTCAGTGATCATCAACGGCGGAGAATGACAGAGAGGGGCAAAACCACCCATTGAATTTACTGTTCATCTTCCTTCCTCAATTCGTCATTGAGGCTTTGAAGGATATAAGTTTCTGTGATATCCTTAATTCGTTTTTTCCAATCAATTCGTCATTTAAGGATATAAGTTTTTGTGATTTCTACATCTTCTGAGATATGGCATTGAAGGCTTTGACATTGTTTTTTGCCATTGAAGGCACCATCGCTGGACCAAGGCGGTGCGTTTTCACTACCGGCTTCCGGTGAACGACGGATTTGCTGGAAATTAGGGTTTGTTCTTGAACAAAGACGACGGAGTTTGGGGCTGAGCAACTTGATTTTCTGTTAATATATTTCAATGTATTTTCATGTATTTCATTGTATTCATTGTCTTTTTTTCATTGTAATTCAATGTATTTCGTTGCATTCCATGTATTTCATTGTATTCACTGTCTTTTTTTCATTTGTATTTCAAATGTATCCCGCTGTATTCTATGTATTTTATTGTATTCGCTGTCTCGCTATATGCCATGAATGTATTCATATGTTTTTTTTAATTAATATAATTTATGTATTCAGATGTATTATATAATTTCTCTGAAGATTGCTATGTTTTTGGTGTATTTTCGGTTGAGAATCTTTTTTATAACTGAAAATACAAAATTTGTGTGTTATAATTGAGTTTGTTGAGTTATATTAGGAGTCTATTATGTTAATTGATTCACTTTCCGTTTTAAAAACGGTGTAATCCCCTATTTCACGTCGTGAATACAGTCGAATACAATAATCTGTCCTGCTGTAATCCCACGTTTTACTCCATGAATACAGTTAAATACACTCGAATACAACAACTGATTAGCTGGACTTCCCTGATTCACGCTTATTTTTACTACTGTATCTATAATCCGTAACATAGNATATATATAATAACAACAACAGCAACAAAAATCCAATATAATCCCACAAATGGGGTCAGTGCGTACGCAAAGCTTATGTTACCTTAAAAGTAGAGAGGTTGTTTTCGATAGACACTCGACTCAAGGAAAGATGAAAGAAAGCAGCAGCAATGAGTAGTAACAACAACAAGATAATAATAAAACAAAGTGAAAGGAATAATATGTAGCAATAGAAATCCAACAATAATAGAATATAAGGCTGATGCTACTACTACTTTTACTACCGTAATGACAAGAAACACTCTCGACTACAGATTACCTACTAGTCTTCTACCTTAATTCTCGACCTCCACACCTTCTTATCAAGGGTCATGTCCTCAGTATGCTGAAGTAACAATATAATCTACCTAATCACCTCTCCTCAATACTTTTTTGGCTCACATCTACCTCTTCTCAGACCTACTAAGGTCAACCTCTCACACCTCCTTACTGGGCATTTGTGCTTCTCCTCTTTACATGCCCAAATCATCTAAGCTTCGCTTTCCACATCTTGTCCTCCACTAGGGCCACTCACACCCTGGTTCGAAAATCTTCATTTTTGATTTTATTAATCTTGATATGCCCGCACATCTCAACATATTCATTTCTATTACTTTCATCTTTTGGACATGAAAGTTTTAAACTGACCAACACTCCGTTACATATAATATAGTCGGTCTAATAACCACTTTGTAGAACTTACTTTAAATTTAGTTAGCACGTTCTTATCACATAAAACACTATATGTGAGCCTCTATCTCACTCACCTCACTCCAATATATATACATATGTATGTATATATATACATGTACATATATATATGTATCGACTATTATTTTAAGGATGGCTAAACTGTGCATTCCTATTTATTTTCTAACTTGTGATTCAAACTAGTCTATTTATTCTCCTCTATAAACCAGGATTCTTATGCAATTAACAGAAAGTGAGGGATCAAGGCCAAGTGTCAACCTCCCTACTACAATCTTTGCCACCTCTTCAAAAAATCTTTGCCACCTCTTCAAAAATCAACCCTTTCATCATAGTTTCTTCCGTCCCCAAAAGTGTCTAAAAAGCCACACAAAAGCCAAGTCTTAAGGACATTAGCCGCACATAATCTTCTACAACTCCTCATTTTCCTCCAACACACACACACACAGAACTCAACAATGGCTGCCACCACTGCTGCTACCTTCACCCTCTCAAAACTCCTGAAATCCTCAACCCCAAAACACCTTTCTCTTCTTTCCCCCCAAAAATCCAATCTTTTCACCTCCTCTTCCCATTTCTCTCCTCTCCCACTCAAATTCAAACAACCCCTCCACCCCTTACACTCTCTCAAACACTCCACCATTTCAAGAATCTCTGCAACCATATCCGTTGGTGACAAACTCCCCAACTCAACACTTTCATACTTCGATTCATCCGATGAGCTCAAGACCCTTTTAATCTCTGACCTCACCAACGGCAAAAAGGTTGTCCTTTTAGCTGTCCCTGGTGCATTTACACCAACCTGTTCCCAAAAACACCTTCCTGGTTTCGTGGAAAAATCTAAGGAACTTAAGTCAAAAGGGGTTGATACAATTGCTTGTATTTCAGTCAATGATGCATTTGTGATGAAATCTTGGAAAGAGAATTTGGGTATTAATGATGAGGTGATGATGTTGAGTGATGGGAATTTGGAGTTTACTAAAGCTATAGGGTGTGAACTTGACCTTAGTGATAAGCCTGTTGGGCTTGGTATTAGGTCTAGAAGGTATTCTATGCTTGTTGAAGATGGGGTTGTTAAAATCTTGAATTTAGAGGAAGGAGGAGCTTTTAATGTTAGCAGTGCTGAGGATATTCTCAAGGCTCTTTAGAAGGTTTTTAAATTTCTGAGGCTAATTCTTGGTTTTTAAGTTTTACTTAATACTGAATAATACACTTGTTTTTAGGAGATTATGAAGCTTAGTTATAATTCTGGTTATTTGGAATGTTTCCTCTTTTATGTGTTTGGAATGTTTTACTATGATGAGTTTTTTTGAATTGTCTTTCTGATAATGCTGCCCAAATTGAGGTTCAAGAATACTTCCTTATTATTTTTCTGTGTCTTTTGTGTTTAATTGAATTAAGTTGGGAGTAAAAGATCAAAACTTTGGTAGTGTACAGTGTGATTTTGAGGATTTGGACAATGTGAATATTTCTGCTATTTTCCACTGTTCCTTCGGCTGAGGGTCTATCGAAAACCACATATCTACCTTCACAAGGTCACAAGGTAGGGGTAAGGTCTGCGTACAGTAGCCTTACCAGACCCCACCTGTGGGATTATATTGAGTTTGTTGTTGTTGAATATTTCTGCGGTTGCACATTGTGTTACATGCCAGTGGAATTGTAGTACTTGGTAAAATGTGGCTCTGATTGGCTGAAGGTATATGATTCTGCTGCTTGTAATTGAAAGTTTTGCTTTTCTATAGATGAGTAGTGCAGTCCGTAATTAGTCATTGCACTTAGATTGGTTAGGTTCAAACATCTATGTTCAATTGAATTGGGATGAAAGAGATTTTCCGCCATTTTACACAAAACAAGTGCAGTATAGTCTTGAGATTTTGAGCAATGTGAGTTCGTTGAAAGAACTTTCTGTAATTAATGCCTTCAGGTGTCTAAATTTTTGGGTGAAAATGGTCAGTTCACCGGGAGGATCGCCCTCCCAATTCGAAGTTTTTTCTTGGAAGTTTGAACCTTTCTGACTATGATAACTGTCGTGACTATATAAACAGACTCGTGAATGTGGCTTAGAATAGGTTAGAGGCTAGTGGATTGAAGGTGTGTATGAATCTGATAAGCTGTTTTATTTCAGAAATTACTTTCTTTTTGTCTTAACTTGTATGTATTTGTTCAGTGTATTGCAGCAGTATAGCAATTTGAGTTTGAGTTTCTTTGTTCTTTCCAGCATATTCTTTTGAATCCAACGTCTGTGCTTAACTATTACTGAAGATGTATTTGCTGAAAATGCGTAGAAACAATTTCATACTGGCCACATAAGGAGAATCCTTTAGTGGTCTGCCTCAAGAATTTGGAACAGAGTAATTTGCATGTGACTTCTTAGTATATCAGGTTGATGGTCCATATAGCAGCACTTGTATATGAAGTATATTGCCCTATTTCAGATCAACCTATTTTAACTGTAACATAGGTTGAGAACTTGATCCCATTGCTGATTTACGATATGTCCGCCTTAATGCTGGGATATAGAACTGTTTCATATTATAGTGACTCCAGTGCCAGACGCCTAAACGGCGAAACTTGGCGTCTTTGCTTGTAAGGCTAGATGAGGTTTGGGTGATTTGCTATCAGTTGTGTGGAAAGGCTAGAAGGGAAGCAAAAGTGAGATATTTCCTCATTATCAGAACTTTAGTTCTGAAGGAAATGAAAAGGCTAAAAATAGGACTGTTCAACCCCTCCATTTTTATTTACCCTCGTCCCTTCTCCCTCGTCCGGAAATAGCCTCTTTACCTTCACAAAGATAGGGATAGTGTCTCCAGACCTCATGTGTGGAATTATGTTGTTGTTGTTGTTGTCCCTTCTCCCTTACGACAAGGGAATTAGTCCTAAATTCCGCTGTTATTTCCACTCCTCCAACCCCTATACTTTTCATTGTAATTGTACCATAGCTATCTTCTTCATGTGTTTATCATCTTCAACATTACTTGGCTGAGCAAAAGTGCTATTGAAGTTTTAGGTCTCAAGCCTCGGTTGTTTCAGCCACTTCTTGGATGTTATTGAAAGCCATTGCTTTTAGCATTGACGAAAAACGAGAGGTTAGTGCTTTATTGGAGAAGCCACGCCCTTCAAAGAAGTGTGCACCATAGCAGTCAAAAGCGAAGAGCGCAAAAATTACAACAATAACACACCCAGTGTAACACAAAGAAGGGTTTGGGGAAGGTAGAATGTACGCAGAATTTAATCCGACCTTTGTGATGGTAAAGAGGTTATCACATTGATGTTTCTACTAAAGCGCCAATTATGCGAGGTGAAGTGCATTTCTTGGGCTTTACCGAGCTTCAGGGCATAAGTGAGCCTTTTAAAAAGATCATAATCATTTGTTTAATTTTCAACTTTGAGGAGTTAGATTATTATCAAAATTAAGGTAAACTGCATGCTTTTAGTAATTTTAACCGCAATTTGGTCAAAATAGTGCTAGAAAGCATCACATCTCGCTTTTTGCTTCAAGCACTATGAACCTGGACCTTGACACATTTTTGCAGTTTTTTGCTTTTAAAAACATTGCTTTATCACGGAGAGAAAGAGTCGGAGGACTATTGTGGTTTGTTTCTTGATATTGACACTACTTAGAATATTTTGGATGTTTTCGGGCCATTGGCCCATTTGGTTATAGCCCATATTCGTTGGGCTAAATCTAGACATAGCCCACTATGATGGCAATGGGACGGAACGGTGCGGGACACGTTACTTTTATGCGGGTGCGGGCCGGTTAAAATAGTTTTTATTTTGAAACAAAACAATCACTTCAACTACAACTTTACATTCTTTTTTACTAGCAATTTAACTTTCGGTCTTTTCCTAGAAAGCATTCTTGTTTCTTTATCTTGTAATTATTTTATTTTCAATCTTTTCATATTTAAAAACGATAATGGTTACTATTTTAGAGTGTTCATATCGGGAAACATGGCAGTGAAATAAAAAAAAATGGTTATAAAGCTTTTAAGATTTGTTTTATTTCAACTCTATTTTGCGGGCAAGTATTCCTAATTAAGGATGAATACAAATTGAAAAGGAATGTATTATGCATATAGCAACTAACTGATTAGGTGAAAGAATCTTGCCTCTCTTATTTCATGGGCAGTGCCTAGTTACTTTATACATTTGAAAATTTATGTTACTACTAATGAGATTAATTGGTATGAGCATGTAGTTTTACATTACGACAAAGAGAAAGAATAATATTAAACTCTTCATTTTATAAAATAATAAAATATCAAACTAGTTTGTTTTAGAAAAAAAAATAAAAGAAAAAAAAAATTAAATGGAGCAGGGCGGGGCAGGTTGAAAACTGAAAAAATAGGTTAAAATAGCACGGTATAGCCAGTTTTTGAACTGGTCATTCAAAAATAGCCATCGTTTACGAAGTCAATGAAAAATAGCCACTATTTTGCTGCAACAGAGACCGGTCCCGCATAATATACGGGAATTCGGTGCATCTGTGTACGAACTCCAACATATTATGCTGGACCGGTATACTTTATTGACTCCTGTATAATATACGGGAGACTGGAGCACCGGTGCTCCAAACTCCAGTATATTATACTGGACATTTATACTTGTTGGAACTCCAGTATATTATGTTGGAGTTCTAATATACTTATGCTGGAACTCTAGTATAATATACGGGCGTATTTTCCGGATTTTGAACAGTATTTTCGCTCAAATTTATCTTTACATGAAAAGTGGTTAAATTTCGATTACTTTTGAAATTGGGTTATTTTGAATGACCAGTTGTAAATCTGGCTATTTTTAAATTTCTCCCAAAAAATAGCTATGCGAGGCGAGAACATGGACAAATACAAAATTGTCCATCGATTGAAATTAATTAGTACTATTTATTTTAGCCAAAAGATATATGCATATTTTTTAATATATAATATATAGGGAAAAGGTCCAAAATTGTCCCTCTACTATGGTATATAGTTTAAGTTTGTCCCCCATTAAACTTCCGGAGATCCACCCCTACCGTTAACAAACTTTCTAGAATTGCCCTTAACCCTTACGTCCCTCCGTCGTGGCATCCAATCCCTTTATTAATTTGTCCACGTCAGCTGCCATATCAGCAGGTCCCACGTTAGAATTAACCTCATCATCACACATGCCTATTATATTCTTCTCATTGCCATTAAGTTCAACAGCGTTGTGAATGACCAATTTGAGCAAAAGATCAAGCAATCAGAGGAACCCATTGTCTTCTTCAAATTTTCATAGAACCATAACAATGGTATTTCTAAGTTTCTTCAATAACTTAGTGGTATGAATAAATAATAAACTCAAATCAGCAACAACAAATAATTTTTACCCATAATTTCAATTTTGCTTTCAGATATGGGTTTCGAAAATTCAAGGTCCAAAGCATCGTCAATAGTGGTTTAGCTCCTGTGTACAAATCTCAAAACCACCAGGTAAGCTTATAGCTATAAGCCACAACCTAAAATTGAGCCGCTGCCGAACTCCACCACTAGAATATTCTAGTAGCGACATCCCCAAACAAATAGTCATAGCCAATGTGAGCACGTGATTTTTGCTTCACGGAAACTACTCCAAAAGAAATCGGAAAAGAAATAAAACAAGTTACCCTCGGGTATAATTTTGAGGATTTATGTGACATTTTGATAATTGTTCTGTCCGTAAATGCTCGCCTCGCTATAGTTAGAAAATACAAAAATACATGCTGCAGGCATTTAGGAATAATTGGCACATTTAGGAATTAGTTAATTATAATTTGGTTGTTTAAAAGCGAAAATCACAAAATACGCATTTTTGTTGTCATCGTAATTTTTATTAAAATGTTTTAATTCATGTGATATTTGTTGTTAGGTATTAATTAATATTTGTGTGTTTAATTTTGGTTTTTAGGAATTTTTGTCTAAATTATAAGAGGGAAAATATCTGATTTGGGCTGAAAATTCAACTGAAAATCGGGCCCAAACCAATACAGTGACCCAGTCCAAACCAGGTCTTCCAGGGACGCCCCCCAAACGACGCCGTATGAGGCGTTTGATCTGAACCGTCCGTCTCACCTAATCCAACGCTCCCCTAGCTTTCCCCAGCACCCGACCTGTTTAAACCTTAGGCCAACCCATTCCCATTTAAGANAATACAGTGACCCAGTCCAAACCAGGTCTTCCAGGGACGCCCCCCAAACGACGCCGTATGAGGCATTTGATCTGAACCGTCCGTCCCACCTAATCCAACGATCCCATAGCTT